TTTCCGGTGACTCGCCCATCTCAGTGCAAAAAGACACCTTAAGTTTTTTTTCTGGTTACATTCTTATTTAAGATAAAAGTTGTATTCAAGTTCGGCACACCAAGAAGATCCAAGAAACATTTAGAAATTGAAACTGAAAATGCGTTAAACCTGCCCTATAATATTAGAAATGTACTCATTGTTAAACTAAGAAAAGAAAAATAGTGTATATTATATGTAGTTTTATCTTTTATTTTCCTCGATTAATTTCCTTTACTTCAAATTAGTAGAATCAAGCAAATCATTTAAGAATGTCTACAAAGCATCAAAAAATTAGCTGAACAATGAGACGTTGTGCATATGCAATACTTTTACATTAAAATACATCCGTGATCTTTAAATGGGCTGCGTACTTATAAGAAAAATCAGTACTTATACTGCTCTATTAATGTGCCTTAAGTTTTAATTTTGACATTATTTCAAGAATAAACTGATAAGATTACTATGGGTCTACCTAGCATGACCCCACTGTACCTGCTTATGGAGACAAAAACGTTCTCATCAGTAAGTTTGACACATTCTTCCAAATTCTTCGAACAATCATGTTGGACCAAATCTGCACTGATGAAACGATTGTCAGCATTGATGGCAGATGCTACTCGTTGAATTGCATCAAGAACGGCATCATCTGAGTTGATAGAATTCCTAGTTTAAGGACTGTAACAGTTATCCGCTCTCAACATACCTTTAGACGTCAAATGAACGTCTATATTGACATGTAGTGCATGAGTACTGACAAATGCATTTGTTAGAAACAAAATGAAAACTGTCACAAGCGACAGCATTGCCGCTGAGGTCGACTGATAAGCGGGGACATGTTGCCCATCACATGGCCGTAGATTTCGGCGAGCATAAAATATGTTTGACGGGAAATTATGGATTTCATTAGTTTATCTTGTTCCTGCTTTCTTAATTCTCTCTTCTTTTGTTCTTATCCTTACGTACATTATTACCTTTGCATCCTGATGTGTGCCACATGAATAAATTTTATTAGTTCTAATTTCCTATTTGGATGGGGCTCATGCTATCTGCTGAGCGAATCGAATAAGAAAAAACGAGCAAGCTGTATTTGTATTCCAATTGTGTGCACACTAGAAAAATCCT